CGAGCGCGCCAGAACTGGATTCCAGAGGCTCCAGAGTCTTGCAAGCGGATGAAAAACGCACACCGAGCCACCATTCGACATTCGCAGTTCAGAGTTCGCGATACAATCCCGACTCTTTCCCACACTCGCTCTCCGTCTTCCTGCACGCGCGCTGTCGCTCGCAACCTCCTGTCCACAGCAGCGCTCTGTGTAAAGCGAGCTCATGGGCGGAGGCCAAGGAAAAGAAGGAGAAGGAGGAAAAAGAGGAGGAAGAGGAGGAGGGGGAGGAGGAGGGAGGGAGGGAAGGGCGGGAGGGAGGGAGGGAGGGAGGGAGGGAGGGAGGGAGGGAGGGAGGGGAGGGGAGGGAGGGAGGAGGCATGAGGAGGATGAAGGATGAGGAGGAGGAGGATGAGTGAGGAGGAGAGGAGGAGGAGGAGGATGGAGGGATTATGAGGAGGAGGAGAAGAGGAGGAGTAGGAGGAAGGAGGATGAGGAGCGAGGGAGGAGAGGGAGTGGGTATGGATGGGGATGAGAAGTATAGAGGTGTCGTAGGGAGGAGGTAGGATGATTAGGAGGAGGAGGAGGAGGAGGCGGGTGAGGGGAGGGGGGGGGAGGAGGGGAGATGGAGGAGTCGGATTATGGAGGAAGGATGATGAAGGAGTGATGAGGGGAGAGGGTGAGGCAGAGGTGTGGGTGGGAGGGTGTGGTACATTGTCCTTGAGCGCCCGCAGCGACGAAAGTTCGAGAGTTCTGGGGCGGCAGCTCACAGAGCTGGAGCGGCCCTCCTGCTAGCAGGCAGAGGAGCCCCCCCAGCTACGAGGTGAAGCCACGACGAGGATGAACTCGGGCGAGGAATGATAGCGAGAATCTCTGAGATGCGGCGGCTCTGGCGGATGTCTCGGGCGCCGCGGCCTTCTCGGAGCGTGCCGGAGCGCCCTGAGAGCGTTACGGAACGCTCTGGAACTGATTGTCATCCTCGTCCCAGCCCCGTCCGGTCCAACCCCGGGTGCGGAGGAGGAGGAGGAGGAGGAGGAGGAGGAGGAGGAGGAGGAGGAGGAAGGGAAGAGAAGGAGGAGGAGTAGGAGGATCAGGGGAGGAGGAGGAGGAGGAGGAGGAGGAGGAGGAGGAGGAGGAGGCGGAGAAGGCGGAGGAGGGCCCGCAGACCCGGGTTCTGTTTTTGCCTGTGGCCGCTTGGCTCAAAAGCAGCGCTCGAGCGACAAAAGGGGCGCTGCCAAGACGGACGGAGAGTAACGAAGCAAAGCGGCGGGCGACGGAGGGGGTACGGGGGCGCCGTGAGCCCAGTTTGCTCGTCAACCTCCTCCTCCTCCTCCTCCTCCTCCTTGCCTCCTCCTCCTCCTCCCTCCTCCTCCTCCTGCCTCCTCCTCCTCCTCCTCCTCCTCCTCCTCCTCGCTACTTCCTCCCTCTTCCTCCTCCTTCCTCCATCCTCCTCCTCCTCCTCCTCCTCCCCTTCCTCCTCCGCTTCCTCCTCCTCCTCCTTCCTCCCTCCTCCTCCCTCCTCCTCCTCCTCCTCCTCCTCCTCCTCCTCCTCGTCCTCCTCCTCCTCCTCAGCCGCCCGTCCTCGCCCTCCTCCCGCGCGCAGCGAGCTCCCGCGGACACCCAACATCCCTCGAAACAAACTTCTTTCCGACGGCGGCACGGAAGGAACTGCAGCGCAGCATTCCCAGAGTACGGCCAGAAGCAGGAGCAAGGGAACCATGATTCCAGAACTCTGGGCCAGCTTCCCAGAGGTACCATCCAACGAATCGGGGCCCAGTTCTGCCGTTGCCGCTGGGTGGGGCGAACGTGCTCAAGAGACTGGGCTGGCTTTCCGGCAAGCCGGTTCAGAAACGCTGGTCCGGATTTTCGGCTGGGGGAGGTCTCTCGACCACATGCTCGACCGCAAGCCTGGACGGACGCCCCGACAGTACCCGACCCCTGCCGCGCAGCAGGGGACGAGAGAACGCGCCTGCCTCGGACGACCGGGCCCGACTTCTGCAGGAGAGAGGGCGCCGCTTCCCCGACCTGCCACTCTCCTGGTTGGCCCGTGTCCTGGTCTCGGGTTGCCCCCCCCCCCCCGAGAGCGAGGAACACTGCGGTGAGTGGAAGTACTGCCATGTGTGGGAAGAGTACGGCTACGAGGAGGACTTCAAGGAAGGCCATGGCCAGAGAAGAAAAGCAAATCACACCAATACGCATAGTAGTAAGAATACGGAGAGCAAGAAGATTTTCCCCCCCGAGAGCGATGAGAACTGCCGGCTTCCCAACTGATGGGAAGAGGACTCCACCAAGCACAACCTGCTATGCATCCGCCCTCGGCTGCAGAGCCGACCAAAAGATTCCCCATACTTTCCCATATCTTCCGGGTTTCTGTGTTCCCCCGCACTTCCCATATTGTCCCATATTTTCTGAGGAATCGAGGATTAATTGTGTCTGCGTGCTTCTTTTCCTCCTGATGTGTCCTGGTCTCGGGTTTCCCCCCCCCGAGAGCGATGAGAACGGCCGGCTTCCCGACTGATGGGAA